AGTCTATCTTTAAATATTAATGTGTGATTTTAGGCAGTCACACTTCATCACTCCATCAAGTCAACTCAAGTTCTTTCAGTTCAGCTAACAGAACATTATCCTCAACCTGAACTGTAACATACTAATCAAACTGAACTGACTGACTGTGTCAATGTTTGTGTGAATTTGTGATCTGAAATGAATCATTTCCTCACTGATAACTATTAAGTAGATAATTATAATTTTTTCCTGTAAGTTGACTTGAGGACAAGAATATATTACTCAACCAACCTCCAGCTGCTGGTCTGAACCTGTAACTGAGGCAAGTAGCGATGAAGAGCCTTCAGTCATATCTCCTCCTCTAGTGGACCCAACCACAGAGTTACCCATAACCACTCAACTTGACAGAAAACAACCAATTTCATGATCCAAATCCAGTACCATTTTAGCTTTTTAAAAGGAGAAGAAATGGAAGACAAGCGTGTTCATGAAAAATCAGAAGTGTCGGCTCAATGTGAGTTTTGCCATTCAAGAGTGACAGCTTTAATTTAACATGATAAGAAATTCCATGCAGAATTAGGTCAAAGGTTTGTCTCATGTGGCTTCAACTTCATTACAAACTTGGACAGTGTTGACCCAAAGGCTGTTCAGTCCTGTCCATAATTAGTAAGGTTCCTACCACTATATTTCACACATTAAAGTTTTATGAATGTCTTGTCTGCGTTTGGACTGAGATTGCAAATAGTTTTATCTTTAAATTTAAAATTTTAGACACAAGAATTAGTAGCATTCAGTATTATTCATCATTTAGTTTGAAAGACATGGGTAATTATCAGGCAGGTGGGGCTTAAAAAAAGACGGTATCGGGTTGCAATATTGGAAATGTAGGATCCTTTGTTTTATATCAGCTGTCAAAAAGCTGTTTTTATTTACAAAGCCAACCAAACCAAGTAAAGAGCTAATAGAACAATAGCCAAGCATAAGGGAGAAGAAAACACTGAATTTGTACAGTATGTATGATCTTAAAGATCAATTATGAGTCATGAAGTCATGAAAGAAATCACTCCTTTAACTTTTATTGCTATGCAGATGATACGCAGTTATATCTGTCGATCAAGCC